AGTCTCACAGAAGCTAGTCTTTCCGAATCAGTTATAGACGTTCTGACTGATTTAAGAAGAGTTCAGCTCAAAATAATTACTGAATTCAGAATTGATTTCGGATGTGTGCGGGATGGAGCATTTCTAGGGAATGAACACTTTATTCTTTCAACGAGGAAACCACAAAGAAATTCTTATGATGATAAATGTTTAGTATATGATAAGTACTGGAAATGCACTAATGTAATCGGTTCATTCTTCCAGCCATTTGGCCTTGTACAAAAGGACAAAGACGTGTTTGTTGGCTGCACATCATCAAATTTGTTAACAGCTTTATCGCTACCTTTCTTTAGCAGGGTGAAGACAATGCGGATAAGTATAGGGACTGATACGCAGATATTCGGAATCGCATATGTACCTGGCTATTTTTATTGAGCATGTGACAATAAAATTATAAGAACTAACGGAAACGGACGGTATATTGACTCATATAAAATAGGATTTGGCGTAAGAAATATAATTTTCTCAGAAGGTAGAATTGTATATAGTAATAGGAATACAAACATTGTGACAGCAAGGGGTAATAAGTGGTCAACAATATGGATGTACAGCAACCCTCATCTAATATCACCATGCGGACTTGACAAAGACAGTGATGGCAACATCTATGTTGCGGGTAAAGACAGTGACAATATCCACGCCCTTTCTAGTGATGGTATTTTGATTCGCCTCTTTGAAGATATTCCCAGACCGGATTTTATGAAAATAAACCAAGACAGAAACATTTGTTGTGTGTGTAGCAATCGAAGAAATATTAGAGTGTATGAGTTGAAATAACTAGATGATATAATAGTCGTATATAAAAAAAAGTATATTGGCATGGAGCATTTCTTTCACTGTTATGCCGTTGTCATACAGACTGAATACATATATTTACACTGAAATATATTAAAACTTTGAGGGGTTTTAATTATTTTATTATGTAAATATTTTGAAACAATTAGACTATACTGAAAGGAAAAAGAAACGCATAAGAACATAATATGGGAAAATTTTTTGACTATGTGGCCGAAAAATATGAAAATTGGTCAGATGTGTATTTTGGTTACTTTGCACTTAAATCGCTAGTCAAAACTACTCAACCATGAAATGTATGGTGTCACGTAGGGGAAATGATAAAAAGTCAAAAACACGTGCATGTTGGTGATGATAATTTTGTGATAAAATTTTGTAGTGCCATACGATGCATTAGAGTTATAGACATCGTTTCTGCATATTTGCAGTCAGTATAAATTTCTTGCAATCGTAGTATGGCTGACGGAAGCTACTGTGGGTCTAGTAATTGAATTCAATATTGCATAAGTGAATTACAAGGCAAAAATATGCTGCTGTACAGATTGTTTTCAACTTTTCAACCCAATAAAAGGTTTTTTGGTTGTCAGAGAGTTAACTTAAATTGTTTCCAACCAACCATGACGACGACGTTGGCGCGTAACAACGTTACAGCAAGATAGGGATTTTCATCATGCCACCTCGGCTATTGTCAAGGCATTATCACTGAAACTGATATTTATACAGCAAACAGTCATACTCATTTTTTTCATCCTAAATTGACAGAAACTCTCTGCTCTAATTTGGGCGGCAAACTTGGCCACTTTACGTCGATTTTAGTCTCAATCGCGCACGTACGCGTCGTTTGCCTGATTTTTTTAGCATGTTTACACTGGAAAAATTTAGCTAGTGTTTGCCGAGACTTTTTTACAAACATCCACGTGTACCAAACCTGCTGGGTTCTGTAAATGCTATCCTTAATCAAAAATTCGTGTTCGAATGGGCGGGGGGATTTGTTGGCTTTGGAATAATACAGCTAATCTCACTCATTAAGACTACCGTCGGAAGGGTTGAATAATAATGCTCTGAAAAAGATAACTTTTCTGGTGAACTCAATGCACAGGAAAATCAAGTTTGTTACTGATGCGAAAGGGAGATTTTGAAAATTTTTAGTTTTATTTTTGGGGGGTGTCGACATATTGATATCAATATCTCAGGAATTATCACTCAAAATCACACAAAATTTTGGTAACTTGTTGATTAAACATGGATTAAATTGAATGATAACAATGGTGGAAAACATATTTGAAATAATTGTTTTAATTTAACTCAAAAGTTTAATATGCGTTACTTAATCCTTTCAGTATATGTTATTTGAATTTTGAAACCAATATATTTGTTTTCATTACTCGGATATTACTGAGAAATGGTTGAAATAATGATTGAAATAGAATTTAAGCAGTGTCAAAATAACATTGCTTTTTATACGTGTTTGGCAAACATACTCCTCCTTGGCATCTGATCCAACTTCTGATGTTTAGAGGTTCGTTTTCGCTCCGCTCCTCTTTTTAATGTTTTAGTGGACTTTTGAGTTTGAATGCTGTTTGTTATCTGCACACATTTAATATTTTCATTTGTATAGATGTAATGATTTTTTTTTTCTGATGGAAAAGGTAATAGAAGTCATCAATTACAGAAAGCAATATTTTAACGATAAAGATCTAGAACCCTTTAGAAATCAGAGATCATTTAAACTGTTAGGTACATTTATATATGTTATATACAAAGAGGGACATTCATGATGCATTTAAATAGATAAATAGCGTGAAAGGCATAACGCATTTATTACTCACAGCACATTGTTCAAATTTCAACAAGCACTGACATATTAAAAGTATTTTATACTAACTGCATTATTTGTACGTGCAAGATATGTATACATGAATAATAGCGTTTGTAAACTTTTATTTGCAAAATAAATATATGGTACATATGTATATGTTGATATTTTTTCCTTTTGAATTTTTTTTTTGGGGGGGGGGGGGAGCATGAAAAGTATATTTTGTCTACAATATGAATTTTTTCTAGTGCTTATTATTTTTTAATGTACTTATATTTTCTTACCATGCACAGTTGGCATAACTGCTGCAGTGAATTGACTTTTAATTTTTTTAATTCTAAAAATACTAAAGCGATCGATGAATTGACTTTTTAAAAGATTTTGTACTGACAAGATGACTATCAATGTGATGAAAACATGCTTGTATATTCAACAATAAATATTTTAAAATGTTTCTTCAATATCAATGATAGTGTTTATGTCAATAAATCTAAATATGCAATTTTTAAAGATAATTTTATGATAAAGTATCGTCAAATCTCATAAGTGCATTATTGATAACATATATATTATACAGGGGCAACAGGATGAAGATAAGTGTTCTAAATTAAGGATATCCGATCCTCAGCCAGGAAGGGTAACTCCAAAAATTAATATTTAATTTGAAATGCATCAAAATGAAGCTTGAAAATTAAATTTTTTCATGCAACAATTTTCATTTTATTCATCTTTATAAGATTCAAGGTTTTTGGAAGTCTTTGAAAAGGTCTTATAAAAGTTGATATTTGTACCCTATAAAAGGAAAACAAAAATTAATACAGTTTTAGAAAAATAAGATTTTCTTGTTTCCAGCCGTAGATACCATTGCTTATTAGCATGATATGAATTAAGAATTGATTTGTGGTGTCTTGCAATGTTAGCAAACGCCTAGAGAACAAAAAAAATACCACATAAGTATAAAAATCATGACAATTTCTCTGAATGCCTGGGTACCTTTCATTTTTTAACCTAAAATAAATTTGTTGATCAATTTGCAATTAGAAAATGTATTGCTGATATTCCAGTTAGCTTTTTCTGAAAAAATATATATGATTAACTTTAATCTTTAAATTTGAAGAAATACTGTGGATAAATTTACATAACTCGGTGGATTCAGAGATACTTTTATGAGTATTTTTGATTACTTAACTGCTAATTTTATAAACCTGAGGATCGGACTACCTTAAAGAAGAATCAATAATATTAACAACTTTCCTTGGTAAATTTGAGGGGCTTAAACTATCATAAAAATCACCTTAGATCTAGATTCTAAATTGTTCAAGTCAAACCAACAGCAAGCCATCATGACAAAATATATGAAAAAAAAAATGATTTCAGCAAAAAAGCACAAATCATTTAAATACTTGCTTTGGCCATGTACAGCTTTTAAAGGTTTATTACTACTTACGTCAGACAAGTTGACGAAAAAAAATTTGCAGTCGTCACGATTATCATAATTTACTGTCGTTATGTTACTATTTATGGCTTTTTTTTTGTAGTAAAATATCCAAATATGAAACAGATGTGTAATACTCAAAGACATTTTTTTTATTTTGAGTTCACTGGGATATATTGGGTCGACATATGAAGGAGGCAATTATTCTAAATTGATATAATTATCTAACTGAAGAGCCGAAGCCACAGCAAGTGTTACAAAAATAACTTAAAGTAGAAAATTTTCTTGGAAAATAGTGCAGGCCAGGATAAAATTTTAAAAAGAGGATCAGATCATGGTCACTTTCAAGAGGGATAGCAAAAATAATTTTTGGAGAGATACTCTAAACCTAACCCTGATGCTTTCCATGAATTTCAAGAGAAATAGAGATACCAAGTTGGCAGTATTGTGCCTGTTAATCCCTATGGTATAAGAACAATATCAAAATTGAAAGTCAAACAATATTCTCTAAGTCCCGGAATGAAGATAGAACAAAGTATGTAAATGATCTTTTTAACGAGACAACATTCAACAATGTCATGATATTCAAGACAACTATTAGACAAAACCATACGACAATCAATAATTGCAGATTTATCAAAAACTTTGACACTTTAAAAAGTTGATCGAAAACGTTGACACTTTAAAAAAGTTTATCGAAAACTTTGACACTTTGAAAGAGTTTATCAAAAACTTTGATACTTTCAAAAAACTTTATCGAAAACTTTGACACTTTCTAAATCTATATCGAAACTTTAATAAAAATTTTGTGAAAACTTTGCCACTTTAAAAAACTTAATCGAAATCTTTGACACTTTGAAAAACTTAATCCAAAATTTTGACACTTTGAAAAACTTTATTGAAAACTTTGACGCTTTGAAAATTTCTATCGAAAACTTTGACACTTTGATAAACTTGATTGAAAACTTTGACACCTTGAAAAGCTTTGGCGAAAACTTTGACACTTTGAAAAACTTTGGTGAAAACTTTGACACTTTGAAAAATTTTGGCGAAAAATTTGACACTTTGAAAAACTTTGGCGAAAAATTTGACACTTTGATTTACTATAGTTAACTATTTAACTATAGTTTTTCTATGTTAGGGAGTGCAGGTGTAAAAATAAACCTTATACATGACATTCTTCTTTTCTAAACTTTTTGCCAAGATTCCTTTTATATGCATTTCTCATAATTTAAGCTTTTTGTTAATATGAAAATGAGGCATCGATCATTTTGATTTTTCCAGAAAAAAAAACTGAAATATCTCATAAAAATGACGCGTTTACGTTTGTTGATATTGTAAAGACTACTACATTTTCTGTACATAGCCCTAGATATCTGTAACATATTATTTCCATTACATTGTTTCTATTTGACTTGTGTAATCATAGAAAATAAATAGTGCTAAAATACCTATACCTACAATCTAAATTTTACTTTAGTCTTTGCCAAGCTCATGTTTTAGAGCATCATAAGAAACATTTACATAAGCAAACGATGACATGAACACGTTTTTTTTATCACAACATGGAATTTGTACACATAACGTCTTTATCATTAATATAAAACTTGTATCCTAGCGTCATTACAGATGAAATACATGTACCACCTAATATAATTGACAATAGATAAGTGTCTTCATATTATATCATCACTTTACATCATTTAAACATCATTTGCAATTTCATTTTTCTGTGTCAAAATTCTACAAATACATTTTCTTTCTTTTTCGTTAAATACATGTTTTATTTCATTTCAAAAACTTTCAGTTTATTCCAATCACTGCATACGCAGCAAATGTTGCTCTGCTTGTCAACTTTCATAAAGATTGGTTTTGGAATATTATCAAACACCCTAAGAAGTACACCGGTAGAAGATAAAACATGGATGTTGTTAGTCTCCTTTCCTGCAACAAAAATGTGTTCATTGGTGTTTTTATCAAGTCCATAGGCGAATTTAAGATTAGGACTCCAGTATGTCCAGATTATTTCACCTTCATTACTTATAGATGTTACGGTATGATCTGACCAGCTACTGTACACGATATGACCACTTTTGAGAATCATTACATTAACAACATTTTTAGGGGTTGGATATTCTTTTAAAAGTTTCCCCGAAGAATCAATTTTCACTATTTTGTCCAAACACGCTGTGTAAAAGTTTCCTTTCCAAACATCCATTCCAAATACGCTTAGATTATCATTTAATAGTATGACTTTTAAATGCTGGTAATCTTGAAAGGAAATAACTGAAATGGAATCATGCCCTGACACAAAAATGTTATTTTCAGATTGGAAAATACCAAAAGTTATAATTTTATTGACTTTGTCAAACTTTTTAATCAATGCCCAATTGTCGAAAATGAAACAATTTTTAGATTGTGTCGACACCATAAATGACCCATCTGAAAGAAATGTTCCACTGAATGCACTCTCCGCTAGATCTAACTCTTTTACTAAAGATAGTGTCACAGTTTTGATAGTATTTCCAGTGTCAATTTTGTCTTCAGACTCTGAGAGTTCCAACTCTGTTGGACATTTCAATTGTTTTATTCTTTTAAAGATTTCTACATCATTTATAGATATTGTTATTTGCTTTTTAGAAAACTCTTCCCTGAATTTCATTTTGTTAAAAACTTGTTTTGCACTGTAATATTTCAACAGTATTTCAGAATCGTTGTTGGAAGCTTTGGCTCTTTCAATATTTTGCTCACAGTAATTCACACATTGAATGCCATCAGACAACTTATCTACACATCTACTGATTTTTTCTTTACTTTCCTTTACTGCAACTGATACGTTCTTTAAATGTTCATTTTTTAGATTTTCCAAATATTTTACAACTTCGTTAAAGTTTCTTTCTGTCATCTCTGTTGTTTTTTTCAACGCCTCATCAAGTTCAGTTATATTATTTTCTTCCTTCTCTTTGGCATCAGATAAAATTTTTTTTAGCTGTTGCACCTCTAATAATAAAACACCAAAGCTACATCTGTCTCGTAGTGTCTTAACTGCACTTTCAATAGTGGTAACGTCATTGCATTTTCTATGCTCTGTACAACCGCATATTGTACAGCAAGGTTCTCCGTGATCATGGCAATATACTTTCACTCTCTCTTTTCTATGTTTAGGACAGGTATTTCCAAGAACTGGCCCTAAGGTTTCAGGCTTCATTTCTGTAATCTTGTACACTTTATGATCTTTCAACATCAATTGTTTTCTGTGATATTTCGTACACAATTCGCATAAACTTTCCATACATGCTATACAATAGTGGGTGCTCTTAACTTCTTCATTGTCTCGAAAGCAAGCATCACACATTCCTTGGTTTGGTTTCTCTATTATTTTTTCTAGGATTTCATTAACTGGAAAAAGCCCTGCCAGTTCCTCGGGTTTGTCAAACGCACCATTACATGCAATATATTCACGACATAATGGACAATTAAAACCCAAACGCGAATCCGTAGATTTGCAGGAGCTCACGATATAGGACGATAAACAACCATGACAAAAAGAATGTGTGCACGGCAAATACCTGGGTGTTTTGAACTTTTCAAAACAAATTGAACACAGAATAACATTCTCCACCGAAAAGTTTTCTTCACATGAACTTGCCATCGTAAAATGTATAGTCTTCCTTCGAACGAAACGATAACCAGAAGACACCGGTGAAAGGATGTACCTGCAAAACAGGCTTTTAACAAATATATCAAAACCCATGTGTGTTATAATTAAATATTTTTCTTCCAAATACGATAACATATTCATAACTCTTATTAATGAATTAAATCATGAGTAACATTTTTTGTGACAAAGATTTGTCACTAATATGGCTATGGTCATTAAGGTCTTCCGTCTCCAACGAAAGACCTTATTGTTTTCGTTCGGTTTTTTTCCCCTATTATTAAGGTCTTCCGTCTTCAGCGGAAGTCCTTCTTGTTATTCTTAGGTTTCTTTTCCACTATTTTTATTGTTGTTTTTTTCTTACCGATTTTGTGCACGCGATTTCTCGGAAACGGCTCCATCGATTTTCATGAAACTTTCAGAACTGATGGAACATCAATCAAACCTGATATATAATTTTTTTATTTTTATGACGTCACTTCCGGTTTCGAGATTTCCGCGATTTAGTGATTTTCAGAGGGTCACATTGTCCGGCATTTTTCTCAAAAGTGCTTTTAGATAGAAACGAAAGATTTTCAGTGATGATAGAGCAACATGTGCTAATGTGACACACACCTTTCTTATTCTCCGGAAGTGCAGCACGTTGGCGCTCGGTATGGCTCGAAAAAAGATCTATCGGGAATTTAGAAATTTTTTGCACATTTTTGGCAATATCTTTTTAAATGTTAATATTTTGTAAAGACATATAGAACAAAAGTTGTGAAGAATGTCAAGATCTTTCGAAATATGTCAACGATAAGGGGCTGGCCCCTACAATAAAGGGCCAAAAGGGGCCGAAAGTTTTTCCTTCATTTCTCAATAAGTATTGAGAATTTGTAATACGTCAAAAAAGCAAAGTTGTTCAAAATATCAAGCTTTATCTATTGGGGTCGTCAAAATACGTCCGGCGACGTCAATTCCGGTCAAACCGGAAGTAGTCAAAAATTGCATATTTTTGCTGTTCTTGACAGGTGTTTGGATATCATATGTCACTGGAAGCTTAAATCTTTATTTTTGTGCGTCGACGTCACTTCCGGTCAAACCGGAAATTGCCAGAAATGGCTTAATTTTGCAATAATTAACAGAGATTTGGAGGATTAAACCATTTGGGGACTTCATTACTCTTCATTTTTTTTAAATGAAAGTTACTTCCGGTCAAACAGGACGGAAGACCTACTCGTTGCTTTGCAACGAGCTCGGCTGTAGTTATTAAGGTCTTCCGTCTTCAGCGGAAGACCTTACTGTTACTCTTAGGTTTCTTTTCCACTATTTTTATTATTGTTTTTTTTCTTACCGATTTTGTGCACGCGATTTATCGGAAACGGCTCGATCGATTTTCATGAAACTTTCAGGACTGACGGAACATCAATCAAACCTGAAATATAATTTTTTGTTTCTATGACATCACTTCCGGTTTCGAGATTTCCACGATTTAGTTATTTTCAGAGGGTCACTTTGTCCAGCAGTGCATTTAGGCAGAAACTCAAGATTTTCAGCGATGATAGAGCAACATGTGCTGATGTGACATACACCTTTTTTATTCTCCGGAAGTGCCGCACGTTGGCGCTCGCTATGGCTCAAAAAAGTCCTATCGGTAATTTAGAAATTTTTCACACATTTTTTGCAATATCTTTTTACATGTTAATATTTTGTAAAGACATATAGAACAAAAGTTGTTAAAAATGTCACGATCTTTCAAAACATATCAACAATCTGGGGCTGGCCCCTATATTTAAGGGCTAAAAGGGGCCAAACGTTTTTCCTTTATATCTCAAAAAGTATTGAGAATTTGTAATACATCAAAGAAGCAAAGTTGCTCAAAATGTCAAGCTTAATCCATCGATTTCGTCAAAATTCGTCCGTTCACGTCACTTCCGGTCGCCGGAAGTAGTCGGAAATTGCACATTTTTGCCATTTTTGACAAGTTTTTGGATAACATATGTCACTGGAAGCATAAAACTTAATTTTCCGTTTGTCGTCATCACTTCCGGTCAAACCGGAAGTAGCCAAAAATAGTTTTTTTAGGTTTTGACGAAAAAATGAATATATAGTCACGTGAGATGACTAAGCTCATTGCTTTCTTTTTGTTGACGTCACTTCCGGTCAAATCAGGACGAAAGACCTACTCGTTGCTTTGCAACGAGCTTTGCTCTAGTTATCATTATTATTGATTTTTTTTCTTACCGATTTTGTGCACGCGATTTCTCGAAAACGGCTTGATAGATTTTCATGAAACTCTCAGGACTGATAGAACATCAAACAAACCTGATACGTAATTTTTTGTTTTGATGACGTCACTTCCGGTTTTGAGATTTCAGCGATTTAGTGATTTTCAGGGGGTCTCATTGTCCATCATTTTTCTCGGAAATGCCTTAAGACAGAAACATGAGATTTTTAGCGGTAATAGAGCAACGTATGCTCTTTTGTCAAACACCACTCCTTTTTCCGGAAGTGCCGCACGTCGGCGCTCACTATGGCTCGAAAAAAGTCCTAATGGGGACATAGAAATTTTTCACACCTTTTCTTTTTACATGTTAATATTTTGTAAAGACATATTGAACAAAAGTTGTAGAGAATGTCCCGATCTTTCGAAGGATATCAACGATAAGGGGCTGGCAACTATAATAAAGGGCCAAAAAGGGCCAAATTTTTTTCCTTTATATCTCAAAAAGTATTGATAATTTGTAATACATCAAAGAAGCAAAGTTGTTCAAAATGTCAAGTTTTAACTAATGGGGTCGTCAAAATACGTCGGGCGACGTCACTTCCGGTCAAACCGGAAGTAGTCAAAAATTGCATATTTTTGCTGTTCTTCAAAGTTTTTTTGGGTAACATTTGTCACTGGAAGCTTAAATCTTAATTTTCCGTCCGTCGACGTCACTTCCGGTCAAACTGGAAGTAGCCAAAAATAGCTTATTTTGAAGGTTTAATGCAAAATTAAATTTTTAAGTCACTGGAAACTTCTTAACTCATTGCTTTCTTTTGTTCACGTCACTTCCGGCACTTCCGGTCAAAACCGGACGGAAGACCTACTCGTTGCTTTGCAACGAGCTCGGCTCTAGTTATTATTATTTTTTTTCTTACCGATTTTGTGCATGCGAGTTCTCGGAAACGGCTGGGTCGATTTTCACGAAACTAACCCTGATAGATATTGGTCAGAACCTTATTGGAAACTTTTTATATGTACGTCGTCACTTCCGGTCGTGAGATATGGACGATTTTCTGATTTTTAGAGGGTCAGCTTGTCCTGGCAATCACTACAAAACGAATGCAGATATTGACTTGAGATTTTCAGTGAAGGTAGAGGAAGGATTGCTGAATTGCTTTTTTGAGTCTATATCTTTCCAGCGCAAAAGGCGTTGGAGTTCTCCTGAGCTCGTTATTATTATTATATTTCTGACCATCTAATTTTGTGCATGCGATTTCTCGAAGACTACTGGATGGATTTTTCATGAAAGAAGAAGATATGGTTTCCATACAAATTTTGCCCTGTGATTTTCTAAAAAATAAAACTGGTGTAAAGGTTGAAAACTCATGCTTTTTAAATAATTGAAAGTCAATGCAGAAAAATCATACAAGTCATTTTTCTCACATGTGTTTTTAAATGCTAATTATGGCGTCATAAACATGTGCATTTTCCCGTATTTTCTTTAAAAGTTGCAGAAGACACCAATTTTCAATGGAATTTTCTTTCAGATAACATTGTCCACAGGCATCGCCCACAAAGATCTTGAGACATGTGATTTGTTATTGAATTTTGCGCAAAATATCAAAAAATTAACGTGGGCGACGGCTGTGGACACTATTTTCTAAAGGAAAGTCACCCTTGAAATGTGCCATTTTGAGGCTTTTTCTGTTGAAAATATAGAAATGCTTCATATTAATGACGTCATATTTGCAGAATGGTAAACCGTCATGCCATATTCTTTCCTGATTTATTAAAGCCATTTATTTAACTAATATTTAAGCCAGTTTCAGAACTTTTTTGATGTCATTACATTTTTAGGGCGCAATAAAGCTAAAACCATACCTTCTTCTTTGCAGGAACAATGTGTTGTTATCTGAAGTTATTTTATCCGAGAGATTTTTTGGAAATTCCTTTCTTGTGCCAAGTGACGGACAATTTTCTGATTTTAAAATGACATGTTGTTCGCGGATAATCTAAAAGACGGTAAAAGATATCACTGTGAAACTTTCAGGGATTATAGATCTTGATAAGTACTATCCAGGACGCGATCTTTTGTACGTCGTCTCTACTTTCTGTTGTAACGGAATGCGAATTTAAAAAGTCGAATTTTTTTAACCTTTTTGTTTTTCAATATTTTCAAATTATATTAGTATGGTTGATAGAAACATTTATTATTAGGCTGAATCTATAATTTGTTTGTAAATTGAAAAATTCAAACTCGAGATATTAACATTCAAAAATCTGAAGCGGAACCAAAATGGCAGCGTCTCTGTCAATTCCGACATTTAGCAATAAGGGTTTACAGAGGCAGCCGAGCGTTTGCTTGAACGTAAGTTACATAAGGAGCAATTAAATGTGTAGGGATACTTGGATTGTCACGACGTAGGTTCGTTGCAATTCTGTGTCAAACTACATTTATAATCCAAGGTCTCCTTATAAGTCTTCTTTAATTAGTTTTAGTTGTTTCTCAGAGTAGAAATAGAAAAGAATTAATGTTCAAATTAAGTACAATACCTACTATCTTTTGTTTTGCATCACGAAAACACATAGCTTAAATCATAGTTATAATTAATAGTTTCTCAAGAAACAATACATACCGTAAGTACAAAACGTGACCACTGTTTTCCCATGCACACTTGGGTCATATTAAATTAATAGAAGGGATAACTGTTACAATAAGAAAACATTTTTTTTTAAAAAGATAACTATTTTTTAAAGACCATTTAATTGACCTATATAAACATTTTTTCTCAATGCAAGTTATTGAACATAATGGAATCTTATTCCTTGACTCTCGTAGGGCGATCGAGGCATTT